ACACACATGGTTGTTTATTTAGATCTGTGATATGAGAGTTCCATTTTAGATCATCTTGAATAGTCAATCCAAGGAAAGTTATTTTTTGCGCTATTTTTATGGGCATGTTTTTTATCATGAATTGTGCTGGAGGCTTTTCTTTAGAGAGTGAATTCCGAAAATTTAGGGAGACAGTTTTACTGCTGTTTATGATGTGTTTATATTCCTGGAACTATTTTATTAGCTCCTCTAGGACTGTTTGTGCTTCTTTTTGTAGGTTTGTTGGGTATTTGCTTTAATAATAATGTTTGTGTTATCTGCAATTAGGACCATTTTGCTCTTTTGTAGGGCCAGGGCATGTCATTGATGTAAAATAGAAATAGTATGGAGCCTAGGATTGATCCTTGTGACACTCCATAATTTATCATTCTAGATTGAGAGAAATTGGTAGAAATCTTTTTATCACTAACATGCTTCATTGTGTCTACTTGACAATGATTTGAAAGGTAAGATTTAACGCATTGATGTGCAATGCCTCTAATTCCCAAATTTTCATGATTGGGTAACAGTATGTGATGGCCAATTATGTCGAATGTTTTTGATGAAGCTAGAAACAAATCATTGGGGATTTCTTTCTGATCTAGAGCAACAAGTATGTCATTTAGGAAGGTGAAGATAACTGTTTCTGTAGATCTACCACTTCTGAATCCATGTTGGGCCTCTGTCAATATGTTATTTGAATTGAGAAAATGATTGAGTCTATCATTAGAAAGCTTTTCTAGAATTTTTGAGAATCCAAATAGTAAGGATATTGGTTTGCAATTCATGAGATCATAAGTGTTGCATTTTTTGAATAGTGGCTTTAACTATTGTGCTTTTGAGAATTTCTGGGAAGATAATTATTAAGGAGTGGTTAATGCTGTTCTATTATGTTTATTGCAGTTTGTCATTAACAATTCTATTGTTTGTTGCAGTAGTATGTTTAATGAGGGGTGTCAAGGGTATTATCCAGTCGTGAAGAGAATTTGTTTTCAATTTGATTTATGATTTTTTTGTATTTTTGCAGGTGATGTTTCACAGATCTATATGGAGTTTACATTTGTTGATGTATGGATATTTGACTGCATATTTATATTATTTAAAGAGTTGCAGTGAATTAATTTTTCTCCAATTTCGGAGAAATGTCTATTGAATTCATTTGCTACTGCTTGTGGATTGCGCAGGACATTATTTTTGTAGTGAAGTTCAATGTTCTTATAGTTTCTGTTTCTGTGTTTAGTATTTTTCACAATGTTCCACATTACTTTTGTTTTGTGCTTTGGCTATGCATTGATCATTCATTAACAGTTTGGCCTGTTTAATTACTGTCTTCAAGATACTTTTGTATTTTTTGTAATAAGCAATGAAATCAGAACTACACGTTTTGATTCCTTTTGTTATCCATGACTTGTGGTTTTTGCTTTTCATTTTCTTCAGTGTATGTGGGAAAACAGTGTTGAAATAACTTTGGAATATTTTTATGAATAAGTTACATTTGGTATTTGTGTCTGTTGCTTTGTACACCTTCTCCCAGTTTTCTGAACTTATTAAACAGTTAAATTTGTCTAAGTTTTCCTGAGAGAAGTTTCAGCTTTTTCTATAAAGTGTTTCCTTAATAACTTTTGTGTCCATTTTGAGTTTGAGTATTTGTGCTGTATGGTCACTAAACCCTGTGTTATATGTAACAACTGAATAGCTGCAATTATTTGTGTCTATTATTATTTGATCAATAGCAGTACTGCTGTTCTTTAGATATTCTGGTTGGTTGATTTATAATAGTTTGTAAGTTGAAAGATTGAAGCAAATTTTGAATAGTTTCTCTTCATTTGATTTTGACAAATAGTTTATATTGAAATCATCGCATAATATGATTTAATAGTTTCTGCGTCTTTTAAGTTTAACAAGAACAATTTCAAGATTTTTAAAGAAAACATTTCTGTAGAGCTGTGGTACATACATAAAATCCATACTCTTTGTTTCGGTGTGTATATTAGATAATTCAAAGTCTTTATCGTTTAAGAGAGAGGAGTAATCTGTGATTGACACATATTTAATATAAATCCATAAATGTAAATCCATTTACCATTGAATTATACTGGAGGTAAAAATAATTCTCATTGAACATAATAGAGATTAACATAGAGAAACAAATAGATTGATTACTTTCTTAAGTGTCATTTACTACCATCGCATAACAAACACTCTTCAAATTCACATGCAAAATTATTTTGTAATCCATTGTCTGTGGATTACCAAACAAAAAGTTACAATGTACAGTGGTATTGTTTCTTGGTTATTTTGATAACTAAGAAAAACCTGATTTGAAAGCAGTTTACCAATAAATTATGTTTTTAAATGTGTGCTAAATTTTTCTACTTGAGAAACCTCAACAAAATATTTAAAAAAATTGAAATAACTAATAAATATTGATATTATTTTCAGATGCATCAGAAGGCAGTGCCCAGAATCACTGCTGACAACTTCCAGCATGCTGCTGCAGTAAAACAAAATGCTAATGCTAACATGCTTGATGGCTGGACTGGAAGCAGAGCCTTGCAGCAGCCTCCACCTCCACAACAGCAAACTTCACCACAGCAGTCACAGCTGCACCATCACCACAGTCAACATCACCACCATATGAGTGCTCAACAACAATCGCAACCATTGCATTCACAGCATGGGCAACATCAACAAATGCAACAACAAGTGCAGCGCCAATCACCATCATCCTTGCACCAGCAACAGTCATTGACATCCTCACAAGTGTTGCAACCACATTCAGGCTCTCCAGTGCAGCAAAATGAACCTCCAGAGTATGTGGGACAGCATGATGGCAAACACTCATTGCTTCAGTTTGCAATGCTTCATTTCCGACAAAGTCCAGAAAAGTGAGTATCAACATTACTTGAACTCTATTTCAATTAATTTATAACTAAGTTTGAGAATCAACTTCATACAAGTGTGTGTATTTATTTCATTTATCAATTTAAAGATTATCTGACCTACGTGTGTACTTCTTTCCTGTTATAAAACCACTTTGTTTTTAATTGGTGACCTGCAAAATATGTACTTCCAGCAAAATGTTGATATCATTTGTTTACATTATTATGTAACTTCCTCTATTGAACAATGTACATAAAAAAGTTAAAAGAAATTTATCTTTCTCTTTTTTAATGAATTAGTCATCATAGAAGCATGACATGTTTTAGAATATGCTATGTGACATTAATGTTGCCAAGAATAAAAGAATGAAAATGTATCTTGTGAAAATAATAGCAATTAAATGTAATTGAATACCACAATATTAAAGTAACTAGGAATTGAATACCTAAATATAAAAAGCAAACTGATGCATTTTTTGCATAAAATTTATTTCCAGAAACATATTTTTATTTTTTTAGGGAAATTTACTTCAATCACTTTTATTTTCAGTTTTTCAGTACCCTCATTTTTACGACTTTTGTAAATTATTTCCTGCAATTTTAATTATTTTAACTTTCCTTTTGGTTAAAAAAAAATTTATTTCAGGCGTTTATTGCATTCTGCTATCCTGAGAAATTTCATCACTATTCTCAGAATAAGTATGAGGGTGGCAACATTTTTTTCTCATTTCTACCAACATTTTTTTATGAAAATTATATTAAAATGCAAAAGCTAGATATGTTTATTGCTAAAAATGCAGACCAAAGGGAGAAGTTGAAGTTTTAGACTATTTAAATTTTGAATACAAACTGTAAGGTGTATCTTATTTTTTTTCTTTCAATTTGATTTGATTATTTGAATACTTACAAATAACTGAACTTTGAGATTGTAGAATTTAAATGTAATTTCCATGTATTTTCCACATTGTTTAGCAGACCTTTCAGAGGCAACATTACTGCCCTAGAGGAAATTACACTTGTTGGAATACAAACATTGAAAGTTGACTGTTGACATCACTTTTGTACTGAACAACTAAAAATTTCAAATGTTATGAACATTACAGGATTTGTTGATGTCAAAATAAGAAATCCTGAATTTATTTGATGGCTTGCATCTTTAATGCCCTTATGAACTGGTTTCTTTGTGAAACATGTTTTCTCTTGGATTGGGTTCTTTCTGTAGCTCGTCTTAGCAATATAGCTTTTTTCAACAATATAATATTTTCCCTCTTTTAATGAAGACTTGCATTAATACCCTTTTCGCTTTGTACTTTTATCATTCTTTACTCCTAATTGCTGTTCATTCTTTCATTCCGTTTTTAAAAATCCTAAAATATTTATGATTATTTTCAAAAATCTTGAATGGCCAATTATTTTCATGTGCAAATCACTGTTTTGATAATCCACATTGATTGGAAACTACAGAATCAATGGTTTCTAATAAATTATTTAAAAAATAATTTCAATTTATTTCACAACTTTTTGAAATATAATCGGTAACATACATTTTTTTCATTAAAGTCACAGATATTATCATTTTGTAATGAGAATACCAAATACATAATTTATTTTGAAATTATAAAAAAGATTAATAACTTTTGATATTTATCTTCAAATCTTTTTGTATTAATTGTTTACTGTTTTACCTGTATTCAGTGTTAACTTATTTTGCAGTCAACTTTTGATTATTTCTTGCTATTGTATCTTGTTTGTAGCAATCACTGCACCATTACTGTGGATTTTTCTTTGTGCAAGACAATAAATTCAGAGATAAAAATTTGAGTTGGCAGAATCGGGGATGGGTATATTCGTGAAACATCTCATTTATTGTGGAGAGTATTAATATGGGCACTTGTTCAAAAATGTAACCACAACTTACATTTATTTAATCATTGTAAACCATTCAGGCTGAACTGACATTACAGATAGTGGGAGTCTTATATTGTAATAGTGAAATCATTCTTGCCCCCTATTTGTAGTAGGCTCATAAGTTTTACTGTTTAGTTGACTGTGATTATACTGTTTAGATTTACTGTTGAGTTGACTGGCTCATTCTGTTTAGTTGACTGTGATTACAAACTGTATTAGTAAGCACAGACTCAAATGAAACATCTTCAGTTGAAAAGGGATGGTCAAGTATTGGCAAAGTGAGTTCTCTAAAATGGGATCACTCATACCCAAATCTACAAATGCTCTTCCAAGCTACACCACGTGCAAACAAAATGGTATATATTGTTGTGTAGAACACTAGCAGCAGTCGCAAAAGAGTCAAGATATGTGTGATGAAATAATGACTTCTTTCCTCTACAGGACAACACTAAAGTAAACAGTGCAGCTAGTATTGTTGCAAAAATGTAGATGAATTTAGTTTCATCAGTCATGTTTTTATTAAATATTGACGGAAGCTGTTTTAGTAAGCAAGACTCTACCAATTGAAATGAAATAAGTTTCACATTGAAGAGGGCAATCAAGAATTGGCATATTTTTTTCTGATCGACTTTATTGATGTGATTCCTGGGCCCTGCAGGACTGTCAAATGTAGGGGCTCCTTATCTAGCAAGTCTTAAATTTGTTAATAAATTAACACACTTTTAAACATTGTAATTTCTGATGAGTGCCAGGTTTATTACATCCTGGCAGAGTAAGTTCTCTCAAACATAATTATTCGTATTTGGCCGACAATTAAGTGCACCGTTGCCCATTTAACACAACTAGAGGCATACTTAGGATCTTTCTCAGGCAGGAGAGGAGGGGAGAGGGCAAATGAAATATGAGATATGAAAAGTATGTATAACATCCAGCCAACGTGATGTTTGCTTATAAAGAATGTTTCATTTATTTTTAACATAAACTGTATTTTATTTGTTGACTTAGTGTTAATATTTATAACATACATATAGCAAATGGCATTTTTAACATAGAAATTAATAAAAGCTACATTTTTGAATGATTGGCTCCTAGGAGAGGGGAGGGGGCTGAAGACTTATACACACACGCACACACACTCACACAGAGCTGGTTGTGCAACTGATTGTTACAGATGAAAATTCATTTTCATCTGTAAATGCACTATATATTTTTGGTTTTGCTAACAAAATAGCAACCCCCTCACCCCTGGCTTTATTCCTACCACAACTAGCAAAAAAGGAAGCTTAACAAAATATGCAAATAGCGAAGCTGCATTTATCACTTTACCAGTCTTTCAAGTTAATATCAGCTGCATCATATGGCATTTTAGATCTTTTAGGAATAATTTTAAAATTTCTTCATTAACACCATCAGCTATAAATTTTTCTTCACTGTTAATTATGAAATGCAAAACAGTTTATTAACAGTTACTAAAGAATTACTTCAACAAAATAAATACTATAATAATGCAATAAATTCTGCTTGTCGTGCATGTATGTTTAACTATTATTTTAAAGCTTAACTGGAGTACTGTGGGTTTCATGGCCAAATACTATCGAATTACTATGTAGAATTCGCTTGTAACAGAAGTAAAATGTGTTCTGACCAATCGGTGAGAAAGAAGTGAGTGCACCAAATCCGTCATTAAAAAATTAAGAAGTAAAATTCAAGAACTTTGAATGATTGTGTTCTCACAATCTTTCTCTCATGTGGTATCAAAACATTTTATATTATTCAGGAAATTTGATATAAAAGTAAAAGTTTGGAAACTACTCCTTATAATTTTCAAAATTAAAGGTTTTGTGAATCAAATTCCCAATTTCACTTCCTTACCTGAGAATTTAACAAAAATTGAAAGAAATTTATAGGTGTATTACAAAGTTTATCATCACTCTCAAATATTGTACTAAAGAAGTTATGTCTAACAGATGTGCTTCATACCCATTGAAATATGAAACAATTGTTTCATGAATTATTTCTAAACATCATCTTTACAAGTAAATTTCATTATTCATCCCTTCAAACATTTTTATTTATAAATTTATAATATCAGCTCTTGAAATGAAAATTTGTTCTAGTGAACATTAGTCCTCTATTCAAGAATGTTGTAGATTATTTAAATTTTGTCATGCCTTTCTATGCCAAGTTTCAGATGTGTGGTTAAGTAGGCATTGGAGAGTTTGAGCTCTCCTTCCTCTCTCAAGCATTACATGAGGTTGAGTTTCTAAAGAGTTCAAGCAAAATTGCTTTAAATTTACCAAGCTTCAATGGAAAACATTCTTTATATTAATATTTTTAATGCTTTTTCACTGATGAAATGGTTTTTAATTTTTGTGGTGTCAATTCTACACTTCAATTTTTAAATTCACTTTCTGTAAAAAAGTATGCCTTCAAATTGTTGTAATTGAATTCATTGGTGTTCATAATATTTTATTTAAAATTATCTTATCTATACAGTTTACTAGTTGAATCTTCTCACTGTGCAATTCATTTAAGAGACCCACAAAACAATGCTCTGGAAATACTTAATGAGTAGTCTTAGGTGGTCACACACCATGACTTCATCAGATTGTAGCATGAAGAACATAAACACAGATGTTAGGGAAATCATTTCTTGTCCGCCCTCTCTGACATTCACAGACTTTCTAGCAACAGCTGTCTTCTTTAGAACTTGGTTTTGCCATGCAACATGTAGATGTCTTCCTTGTCATCTCCAAATTTGTTTGTCCCTTCTGTCTCAGGTACATTGTAATTTCATAAATCATTTCTATGAATTATTGGAAGTATTCATAAGGGGTTTGTTGTATCTCATGTTTGGATAATATGTAATAATGTCTTCAATATGTATTGTAGAATGGGTTCTGAATGTCAATATATCAAATCAATATTGATTTCAGTTTGAGCATAATTATTTCCAATTTATTTCATTGGTTGACTAATTTTATTCTAAGAAATATTCTTGACTTTTAATTTGTAAATAATATATTTATATTCCATTTTTTAACATTGTGTTACATTTATCTCAGTTTTGTCATTATGTTTTTCTGAACTAAACAGGATACATGAACTCCAGTTAAGAACGCACAACTGTGGGAAAGAGTTTATCTTGATTTGTGCCATTGCTATCATGCTCAAACAAAGCATATTGTTTGTTGCTGCAAAGTACATTTATGATAGGCAGTGAACACTGTATTACAATGTAGGAAGAAGCAAGGAACCAGGTAGGAGAGGGGAGGGGGAACATGAAAGAGAAAGTGAACTCCAAGGCATTGAAATCCGCAGTGTGGGAAGGAGGTGGCCGTGGGTGGGGGAGTTAATGCTTCAGTGAAGCAGTCTGCTTGGTGGGGGAACCTGTGGTTACTACACCATGTAGCTAGATAGTCTTCTGTTAGGAACAATACAGTGCACATTGGATTTAGACAGACATTTGCAGTTTGCTGAAATGTTAAGCAAATAATATTTTTTCATAGTGCTTGAAAGTTATATAGGTGTTTTTATTTGCATTCAATATTGTGGATTTTGTGCTCTTGAAAAATGGGTTGCAATGTTTGCAAAGCTGCTGTGAAGATTTTGTGTTTCGAGTGTTGTGCTTCAGTGACAATTCGTTTGATGAACTCGGTAGACTAGTATTTGAATCAAATGAAGAAAATCATGCATTTTTGGGGGTAATTTGTAATAATATTATTAACTAATAAATATATTAGTTTTTTTCTATTCATTAATGTAATGGTGGTTTTCCATGGTGGTTGATTTGTGTGAGGCGCTCATGTTTAATTCATGCCATTTCCTACCATTTTTAAGAATGTAATGCTTGATTTGTTGACTGATCCACTGATGCTGTGACTCTCCTTTATGTCCTCTGAACTCTGGATATTCTTTCCTGTTTTATGTAATCTTTGCTTGTTCAGCACTAAACAATTTTAAATAGAGAGTTGTCTTTAAATGGTTATTTTATGTTTCAGGTTTGAAATGTTAAAGACAGCAGATGGTTCCATTAGTGGATCTTTGAAAGTCATTGAAAGTCTCAAAAGTAAAAAAGGAAAAGGAAAGAAAGGAAATAAAGAAAATGATTGGACATGGAAAGAGCAGGTAAGATTAATTGACAGTAGGCTATTCTCTAAATTATTGTCAAGACATTTTTTCATTAATTTACTGTAAACATTTCTGATTTCTTCTTTGCTTTGTATTTTTAAATTATTTGAATATTTTGTTTTCCAAGACATTGGTATTTTTTATTTTATAATATTTTGAACTCTGAATATTACTTTTATGACAAATAAGTTTGTTGTTGTTTTGAGTTTTGTAAATAAGTAAAAAGTTTATTTTCCAGGTGGATCTTGTCAAGTTCACTCCAGTACTTATTGAACAATCTCTTTTGAGATTGGAAACTAATGAATTAAATGAACTAGCAATTGAATGTTTCCTGTCAGTAATGAGATACATGGGAGACATGCCAATGATTCCTGATGTAACAGAAGTAAAATGTGTATACACAATTCTGATGGTAAGTATTAAAAAAAAATTATTTTTAAAATATTTTGTGGGTCACTGTTTGAAACAACTCCAAGAAATTACAAATTTATGTAAAAAGTTTACATAACATATTTAGATTTATAAATTTCATTATAACATGCTTTTCCTACATGAAAATCAAGTCATTGATTCTTTTTTCATAAATGTTTCTTCCTTTCAGCATTGTCATAAACATGAAACACTACGAGATGAAGTCTATTGTCAGTTAATGAAACAAACAACAAACAATAAATCAACAAAACCTGACTCTTGTCAGAGGGGATGGCGTTTATTTAGTATTGTTGCTGCATATTTTGTTTGTTCAGATACACTGAAACCATACCTATTCAAGTATTTGGAAACTGCTGCTTATGACAAAAGACGTGCATATCATGGTAAATTTCACTCTCAATTGTGAAAAGTTTACTACTGCTGCAGTAAACGCTTGTATTGAAAATATTTAATTTCATTTTTGTAGGTACAGCTACTGTATGTTTACATAATTTGAGAAAAACATTTAAGTATGGAGGTCGAAAAAATGTACCTAGTGTAGAAGAAATAACTGCTATAAGTGCTGGACGAAACTCAAAACGGCAAATTTACAGACTACCTGGAGGAACTGAAAGGGTTATAAATACAAAATCTACTACTGTTGTACAGGTATATTTTATTTTAGGTCTTCATTAATTATTTTAGTGTGGAAGGGAGAGTAGGAAGAGAAAGTATATTCTTCCTGTTGCTATTGTTCTGTTACTCATTGTCATCATTGTTATTGTGTTCTCTGAATGTTTTTATTTGAAGATTACAATTCAACAATATGTTTTGATATAGGATGTTATTGAAGAAATTTGCTCAGTTATCAATGTACAAGCCCCACATGAAATGGAGGAATTCTCTTTGTATTGCATTGTGGAAGGTGACACTTTCACAATGCCTTTGGCTAGAGAGGAATACATTTTGGATGTAACCACAGAACTTCATAAGAATCAACAGGTTTGTGAATAAGATTTTTGAATCTGCTTGAAATATCCTTGTTTTTGTGTAAGAATTTATTTACATTCAAATTTTCATTGTTGCAGGTGTTCTATTTAATATTTTGTCGATCTGTATGGCATTTCCCATTGAGGCTGGATTCCCACTTGTACATTGAAGTTGTTTTCAATCAAATTGCTCCAGACTATTTAGAAGGATTGCTTTTGGTCATGCCAGGCGAACAACTTGACCAGGATGTTATAGTTAGTATTTAATTGTTAATCGTTATAAATTGAACCATTTTGTTTATTATCAAAATTGAACAAGCAAACATTAAGAAAAGCATCTTTATATGAAATGAAGAAGGGTGGTGGATTTAAGTCATTAGAGAAATTTTCTCACAAGCAAAAATTTCTTTTTACTTTTAAGCAACAAACTTGTCTCAAACAAATTAAATATAATGTTCCTGTGTTTTCTATTTCAATTTTTTTATGATTGATCATGGAATGTTATCAAATTCAAAATACTACATCTTTCTTCAACAATATCTACTTATATTTTTTCATTATGACATATTTAAAAGTACATTTTCTACTTACAGTATGACATTGCCAAAATGGCTGCATTACTGCATAGAGCAGCTGACATGAAACACCTTCCAAGCATGAAAGAGACAAAATTTTTGCTACCCAAACCAGCTTTAACTGTACGTGATGTAAAACCAGCTCAATGGGTAAACATGGTACAGAGCAATTGGCGTGAAGTGGAAAGTCTTCAGACCATTCAAGCCAAAGCCCAAGTTCTAGGTAAGTTTTTAATAAAATTATTTTTGAAGACCATTGTCACCCTCAGATTATATAATGAAAAGAGAGAATGTTTTACATCTTTTTATTTGGAGATTTCATATATTAAAGATAGTTGATAAAATGGCATAAAGCTTTCACACATTAACCTCAGATTTGGTTTATGAAATGCCTGTATTTTGTAATTGAAACTGTGCATAATGCATTCAGAATTCCAGTGAAGATATTTATTGAATAAATGGTTCACAAATTTTAATACAATGAAAATTACGAGCTGTTTTTAATGCAAGAAACTCATTAAAAAATTTCAAGATTAATTCGGAAAATGCCCCATTGCTGTGTAATAGATAAAGGTAGAAGAAAAATATGCATAATGGACCAAAAATATAGGACCAAATAACTAGAACACAAATTAACAAAATACAAATATACAATAATACAATTATAATATACAATTTTTGTTTGAGTAATTTATGTTCCATGTTCTTTAATACAGATGTATGTGTATTCCTAGAATTAATATTTTTACGTATCACGAAATATATGACAAGTAACAAATTGTAAAGCTGAAATATAGTAAAGTGCATGTAGTAATGAAATACGGTGAAACCATATTAGTAAATATGCTCAATTTTTTTGAAAATATACAATTACTTTTTATGATTATTTTTGTTTGCTATTCTGCTACCATTGTCTTGTGAATGAAGCTAAATAAATATTTCTATTTTTACAGATATTCTTTCCAAATGGCCATTGTTTGGTTCAAGTTTCTTTGCGGTGAAGAGGATATCAGATCCTAAAGAAAGAGCAGATCACATTCTTGCTCTAAACAGACATGGTGTGCACTTCATTGATTTAGTGACTCATGTAAGTAGACACGTGTATTGATGTTATTGAAAATATAATATTTTTTAAATAAAATTTTATGGTAAAGAATTACTTAGCATGCATTACATGTTTATGTTTTAAATGTTATGTTATGTTATATTATGTTATAAATTGAATGCTATTTGTAAACAGTAATTTAAATTGAAGAAAGATGATTTTTCTCTTATAGGAAACATTGATACATTATCCATTCTCAGAAGTTATTTCAACACGGAAAGTTAAATCAGAGGATGGAACCCTTTTCCTTGACATGAAATGTGGCAATTTAATGCAGCAACGAATCACAAGATTGCAAACTGATCAAGCTCATGAAATTTCACGCCTTATTCGACAATACATTACTATGGAGCAACGATTACGTTCATAAAATTTTCTAATAAAGTTTTTTAAATTACTTTGAATCACATCACATACATAGTTTTCAATTTCCCTTAATTGTTTATGCAAGTGTTGTCTGTCCTGGTGTTTTCATTTCTTAATACTGAATTAACTTGTTTGATCAATCTTAAATACAAACTGTTATGAAGTTGTGTTAAGTGAGCTGATAAGAAGTGCTTCAGTACATACAACAGCTTGGTTGTGGAATGTGATTTCATGTAATGGTGCATAAAAAATTCAGTGTTTGGAAGAAACACACCAAGAATTCTTACATGCATTACTTCCATAGCACATTACTTGAGTAGTGAATGGCAAGTAATAACAATTTAATATGGAGGTTCTAAACTCTGATGTTTTCTCTTCCATACCCTTGAATAAAAGTTCAAATTATATTTTGAACTTGTGCTCAATGTCCGAATGGTGCCGTGTTGATAGACTTTGTTGGATGTATTTGTAAATAAGACTCGCCTTAGTATGCTATGTATTTTTCAATCTGTTTTCAATTTAATTCTAAAGTTTATAATATTGTATGATGAATTACAATTAAAGAGACTTCTATTACTGCTGCATTTACTTCATGTATTGAATGTTGGTTTATAGTAATGTAAATTATATACTATATATATTATAATTGTCATAAAGAAAAACGTACTCTGTTACAAAGCAACAATTTTTCTAGAATTTGTATATTTTCAACAATGCACAATATATTATTGCACATTTTAGAGAGAATAAATCATATTGCAAATTTTTGTGGTATTTAAATTTATGTTTTTTCCAGGAAATTATTACTGTTTTATAGGAAATATAAATAACCTGCAAGATGGATAATATGCTCTTTATTCTTGATAAAACTTAATATGATGGAAGCATTTATTTTATTAATATGTGGTCAAAGTTCAAGTTTTCTATAATATTCTGCCAACTATTACTATTGCTGGCCTGTTGTTTTATAGTAAAAGGAGATAAACATGACAACGTTCCAGTATTAATTGAAGTTTGGAGATTTCTTAGCTATAGTAGTATAGCAGGTGTATCCCTTGCAAGTTACATTAGATTTTTTTTTTAATGTTAGACTGGAATGTTTTCTGTGATCCTTTTACAGTGGCCATATAGGTGTGTATATTAATATATTAAAAGCTCTATATTTGTCAGCCCTTCAGATTATTTTTTTATGAATTTCCATGAGTGCAGGATGTTTGATTTTAGTTATTCAGATCAATGCTTAAATAATGAAAATAATTCACTTGCTGACAAAGATGTGTCAATACATGAAACAATGTATTTTATATTACATAATATGTTGTTTATAATATGTTTCAGATACTTTCTTTCTCCTTGAACTATCTTACCCTAGCAGGTTCCTAGGGTTTTGTGAATAAATTATGCTCTGCATGAGAAAGATGTCATTGTAATTCATTGTATACATAACCATGAAATATATTTTATGAAAACCTACATTTATTTATTCATTTAAACCAAACATTGGAATACCATTCATAATGATTTGTAAAAAATAATTTCAAATCGATATAATGAAAAATTATTGCATCATGTTAATTTCTTTGTAGTTCAACCTCAAGCTACTGAATAGTTTAAAACTATTGTTTAGTGTTAATATCTTTTCTATGAAGCAGTTATTACAGCATACTTACCCAATCTGCATGCATAAGACAGTATGTTTAAGACACAATCCTGACATGGCATTAAGTACTTACTTACTTTATTTATTTACTTCACTGCATGAAAGAAAAACTTGTGACTGCATTTACTACCCATGAGCTGGGCAGAAACATCATTTCTAAACTGAGGGTGCTGCTGCTGATGATTTTATGTAATATTAATTCTAAATAATTCTAATAAAAATAATTCTAAATTAAGATGAGCCAAGGAATTTTAATTGAAGAAGATAGAAAAATTGACCCAATCCTGTACGCAGACAACTAGGTAATAGTAACAGAATACAAAGACAACTTACAGGGAGTAATTTTTGAACTATCAAAAGTTACACATGAATATTCCATGAGAATATCAATAAGCAAAACAAAATCCGTGGCAATGCAAGAATAGGAACAAAGAAAAGCTTGAATTGAAATAAATGGTGAAATAGAAGAGCCAGTAAAAGAATTCACTTACCTAGAAAATGGAATCTATGCATTAAACAACACTCGAGAAGATATCAAGAGAAAACTACATAATTACTACAGAATGTGTGAAACCATTAAAAGATACTTTGTGAAGGATATGGAGTCTACCATAAAATTGAAATTTTATAACATCATAGCTAATCCAATGCTTCTGTACAGTTCAGAAACATGGATAATGAAGGAAGGATATCAACAAGCAGAAAAAACAGGAAGCACAAATGACATTCCTAAGGCATTCCTTAGGAGTCATGAGAAGAGATAGATTGAGAAACAAGAACATCAGAAGAACACTAAAAACCAAAAATCTAATAGAAGAGATTAAAGAATCACAAAAGAGATGGAAAGAGCACATTTGCAGGATGGAGAGTATCAGACTACCAAAACTCATCTGGAAATATAAACCAATTGGAAACAGACATTGGAAGATCTTTACAGAGGAATGGAAAATTCCTCCTTAAATTATGGAAAATTCAGGAACACCTACAAGAATTATCTACTATATAGGTCTACTGCGCCAACAGGAACAGGATCATACCTAAACGCCTACAGATCATAATGATGATGACTACAATAATTCTAAAATATAAACTAAAGCTGAAATAATTCAGATACCAAAATTTTTTTACAATGAGTTAAAAGGGTCAGAGCTTGAATGTTAAACTGCCAAGGATTTTACTTTTCTTATCCTAATCTAGAATTGTTTCCAAACCCTGCTCAACCAGTTGTTCAGAAAGTACCCAATCAAATTGGTTGAAACTTTATTTGATGATTTGGCCATATCACTTACATCTAAGACCAGAGCCTAGGAATTATGAAGCTTTGAATTAAATTGAGTTGACTTGAATTTTTTATTGCCTTATTTTATGTGGCGAGACTCAGGCCATGAGGCCTGCTGTTCTGTCTGACTACGCAAATTTTGCTACAGTCCTTTCACCAACTAGCGGAGAAAGGAGGTAATTCTTGGGCGGCGAAACAGGCGATTTGAATTTAGCTCAGAGGCTCCATTTACATACAGTAAATCTACTAACATGGGACAGCCTGCTGTACTTCCCCTCCAAAGGAAGGCATACAAAGGATTTTTTTGCCCTAAAAATCCATGGATTTGATCCGCTTGAATCAGTGTACTTGGGTATAACAGTCTGTTACGCTAACCATTACACCATCGCCGCTACTTTGGCTACATAAATGAGCAATATTTGGAAACAGAAACATATGAAAATAAAAAACACAAGTTTCAAAAAGAAAATTCTTTAATTGAATAAAAACATTGAATACAAAAATTGAAGACTAAAACATTACAATTGCATTGAAGACCTCATGGTACTAAATAACCTAAGAAACTATACCTCATGGTAATAAATAATAAAATACACATGATGACAATTTAGGGATAGATTATGTTAGTTGATTGATTTAAAGCAAATGGTACTATGAACAAGAATTACTACACAATATCAACTTTCCATTTCCTCTTTCTGTAATAATTTTGTAACAAATTTTTCCATCATTTCGGAGTTTTATTACTTGTAATAAAGACAAGAAATGTGTATTGCTCACATTTACTATAATAATAATTTAGTTGAATAATGTAATGTTCATGTAAATTTAATGAACTTTGAATGAAACATAAAATCTATGTTAGTAGTACAATAGTACATACCCATTAACTTTTGATTACAAAAGTTTTCTCTACATAAAATATTAATGTATGGCATAGTTTTTTTGTATTGTTTATTGATCAAGGTTCCGATCTCATTTTGGTCACTTTGGTATTGCGCTGTTTTATCCACTTCTGTAATAATTGTGTTGTTAGAGAACCCCCTGATGGGCTACCATCATCTTCCTCTTCCATGAAGTATTCTCTTCTTGAAGGGCTCCCTGGAGATTCTTGCCTTCTTCGAATTTCCATTGGGTGGGTGTGAGAAGGTGGTGGCGGTGGTGGAGCAATTGTCATTCTCATTGCTTGTGCATATGGAGACGGATCTCCACTCACTCCCTGCATGACTCCATTTCTATGTGATGTGTTTGTATCACTTTCATCAGAAGAAATACGATAAGGAACCTTTGGTGATGTGCCCGATGCAACATCTGAAGGAGACTGAGATGGAGTTTTTGGTGTGCTGTGTGGTGTGCTGTGTGGCCAGTTATGGGCTGTATGGAGAACATATCCAGGGTCCATGGGTGATGATGGAGATTCTCTTGAATCTCGAGGGTTTTTTCGAACACTCTGGACTAGGTTGGCATCTCTACTATCAAATCGCCAATGTACATCAGCCTCTGGTGAAGTAGACATTTGTATGTTTGAAGAAGATTTTTTTGAATTCTTCCGTTCCATCATAGGACTGGGTGATGTGGAGTCTTTTTGTTTTGGACTTTCTCCAAACAAGTAATGCTCTCTTTCACTTGGAGTCATGTGACTTATATCCTCAGAGATATCACGTGGATTTTCATCTTGTTTGTCAGGTTCTACATAACCTTTGGGTCTGTCTGATTTAGTATTTTTAGAAGATTTAGATTTTGGTTTTGAAGATCGATTCAGATTAGCTCTTGGCAGATCTTTCATAGGAGGAGAAATTTGTGGTTTTGGTTCAATTATTTCTTCAGTTGAGTATGTAGCCTTCAGCTCTCTATTGTAGTCAACTTTACTGTCTGGAAGCATTGTAACGTTTTGAGGATAATTTGCTAAGTTTTGCATAATTTTTTTATATGCCATAAATTCACTTTTTTCTGTTGGAGACATTACAACTATTTCATGTGGCATTTCTGAATCACTATCAGACTTTTGAAATCTTGATATTTTTCCTAGTTCAGGTTGGGATAATGACTTATCAAGATGTCTTGGACTTCTTAGGACTGGTTCTTCGCTAGTAGATTCTATTGGCATCATTGGCAACATTTTTGCTCTTAAGGAAGGTGATTTTGACCTTAAGCTACTTTGACTTCCAAAGTCACCTTTCTCTCTCATTATAAATGATACAGAAGGTATAGCCAAGCTATCATCAGCATCACTTTCATCCGTTACTTTTCGTGGAGTTTGTGGCAGTTTGGGAATTCTATCCCCTCGACGTAATTTCTGTGAGGTTCTTATCGCATCAGGTTGTTTATCCCATTCTGTGTCTTGAACATTCATGTCTCTTGATGCAATTCCATTCACACTACCACGTACTTCTGATGGTGTTGCAAGGTCCATTGGAGGATTTAAAATATCAGACGGAAAAGTTACCCGCATTGTTTCACCATCTGTTTTCTTTCCTTTAAGAGAGGATTTCAATTGTCCCACAACTTTATCATTTTTATCAAGCTGATCCGGACTTTTACCATTTCCATTTGCCAGTAGACCATTCATTTTATGAGAAAAAAGTTCAAGTGCTCCTTCATAACCTGCCTTTTCATCAGTTTGAGTTAATTTACTTGGTCCTGAATGTTTTAGTTTTTGTTTCAGGATTTCAACCTTTCTTCTTTTTCCACTAAGGGATAAATCAACCAGGAAGAGTGCACCAGTTATCAAAGATACAACACCTAGTATTGCTGCATTGTCTATTAGTTCATCTGGTACAGAATCCAAAGCTGCCAACTCCAAACTTCCTACAGCAATGAACAACAGGGCTCCAAAGGTCAGCAGAAATGATTCCTGAAAATCATATTGAGACAGAAGAATTATTATTGCAAGTTCAACAAGTTAAAGGAGAATATTAAATTTAATTGATTGCAAATTCTAGAAAAATAAAACATAACAAGTACTTCATTCTTCCAATTTTATTTTATGAGTTTGTAGGAGAATTTTCAACAGCTTGCTTTTCGTCCTGTAAATGACTTTACATTACTAAAAATTTATTTACTAATGAATGTTCATTATTAAGATTTTTCCTAATACACATTTAAATATTCCAACAAAGCAGTTCTAATTTGAAAACTTTTAATTTGGAAAACAAATTTCAGTCAAAATTTGAAATAGCTGTTTTTATTGCACATAAATAATATCCAAGTATTATAACCATTTATTAAAGAAACCCATTCACTTCATCACTGTTAAAGCAATGGATGAGTGAGTACCCTTCTTCTAAAATATAATTTGTATTCTACATTTTAAGTCAAGTAGCTTTTACATCCATCTTTTTGCACTTAGTTTCAGTTCAATAATCTCATAAACATTTGGTTAATATGTAATTGTATTATCATTAAGGAGTTGTAAATAATCAATATGATATGTTATGTGCAATATATAGGCAGGACTTATATTTAGTGGAAATAAATATTATAACCAAAATTTATTACAGAAGTCACTATTTAATTCCAAAACCCTGCAACAAAAGTGAATTCTTTGCTTCAATGTCTAATCCTACTGGTATATATTTATTAAATATTTAAGAAATTGACAATACTTTCACTAATTAATCAATTGTAATATATTTTTTGTGATTGCAGTATTTTGAACAATATTAAACCCTTAAACTGACTTCACTCAGTTAAACATTTTTGACTGCTCTATTATTTAATTCTTCTTAATTCAATCATAAAATGAAAGTTCATTCATTCTCTCTAGACAGAAAGATATTTAAGTGACAATGACTTTCTTATGAATTAAAATGTGTAAAAATTAAAATTATCTATTTTCTTCAAATAATATGTAAAAGGAGTGATTCTAATACATGTATCAATCTTCACCACTTGGTGATTAATAAAAGATTAATGATAATATAAAGCACGAGAGATATTGCAAACAAATTAAAAAACTTCTCTTTACTCACCATATTCCGTCCTTTCGTAAGTTCTCCACTTAAATAACCAATGAGTAAGCCAGCAGTGATTAATACATAGCTTCCATATGTAATATCTGCATAACTGGAACCATTCTGTTCCCATGTTATGTACCTGAGTAAGGGCCATTCATAGTTTTGCTTTTCTTGTCTTGTTCTCAGACGCCGACCTTCATCATCAGATACTCGTTTATACACAATACATGCAATGCAAAGTATCTGTAACATGAAAGTAAAATTTGAATTAATAACAATGTTATAAAACACTAAATGTTGTAAATAAATTCTCAAGTTACTACTACCATAATTCCACAATTCAATACTTTGTAGATAGCAAAAACGATTTACCTGTATTACCTGATTCATTACCTGTATTGTTATTTATATCTAATCGACTTCCGTTCACAATTTATCTCCATTTTAGCAAAACTATGTAGATAAATGAAGTGTATTCAAGATGTTCTGTCATGGAATTCAGAACCAATTGAAAAACACTAATTGCAGGAATTAAGTCTGAGATTAGTGACATTCTGCAACTGTTATTTGATTTAAGTTGTGAAATTTTGGGTGGCAAGGTCCCTCTAGCAGCATAAATCTTACCCACACATGGATATATGATGTGAATAAGATTTTTTAATTCACTAACTTATGTATCTTGAGGAAGAAAAATTTCAGAAACAAGTATTGTCCAAAAAAGGTACATTATTTAATGATACTAAATTTTGTGATTGTTGACATTTTTAAGAGCACCCTCAAATTCTGAATAGTACTGATTGAATTAGTCACATCTCTTTCATCATGGGCATTATCAGCATCAAATTATTGGGGCTGTCTATACATTGTATTGTATTGGTGATATGTATATATTCAATGTGATCTCCTTCCCTAGTGGTGCCATCAATGATTCTCCATATTTTTTCACCATTATTTGTTTGAAATGGTCTAGTTCAGGGTTAATCAGATTTAAAAGTCCCTTGGATCCATGTCAGGCGAGAACATTCTGTGCCTAGTGCACATACACTATCGGAGTCAACAAGCCCTCAATGTAGAAATAGGTTAAGTTTAGATTTAAGGGTTATTATCTAGTAAATTCAGAAATTCAAAATCATCTCAAAGTGTTTCACTGCATTGTGCATGGTACAGCCCTTGTGGCCCTTGAGGCCTTGCAAGTTGGACACCTCTGGCTTAGTTACATTACTGTATACATCCAAATACAAAACGAGATATTTTTTCTAATTTTTACCCTTTAAAAATCGGGGCTCATCTTATTTTTGCACATCAGAGGAAAACTATATTTGAATAATTAGAGACTCATGACTCTAAAAAAATAAACATGTTAATTATGGCTTGAGAAGCATGACTAGAGGCCTTGAAAACCATGTCTTAAGGTCTTTGGATGCACCAGTTTTGAGTTACACATGATCAATGTGCCAAGAAAAAAGCCTTAAAGTGGATTGTGTTTGCGCTTGCCTGACACGAAGACATTTTTCACCTAATCCTTAATATTTACAAAGTTAAAGTGCAATCTGTGCCCTCTCCATGGAATTTTCTTTTCACAACTCGTTTATTAACATTGCTTGGGCATAAGATCTACAAAAGAGGTCTATGCTATAGAATATGATAATACTTCAAAATAATCATGTACAATTGATGTGTCATGTATTTATTGTAGTAACATATTAATACAACAATATGAGTAGGCACATTTCATTAACAACACCAGATATTGATTGACTCATATAGAGTATATGGATAAGATTTTCTTAAGCACAATGTATAAAATAGCTGGTGTGATTTTTTCATTTCATTTATTGAGAACTAATTTCAAATTATAAATACAAGGGTCATCTTACATTCAAATAAATAGGGTGAATATTATTTCTTTATTGAAACAGTGTTTAAGATTTTTTTATCTACAGGAAAAAAGCTACCCTATTATTATTTTCGTGATTGTTTCTCTTAGATAAATAAAAGCTCAAGCAAACTACTTCTGTCTGATACTTATTTATTTGAATTAAATTATTTGCTCTTGAGAGTAACAGTTGAAATAGTGCCTTAATTCTTTTCTGATCTGTGAACTTTCAGTCAGTTAGTGAATGGTCCCCGCCTCATTCCTAATGTCATGACAAATTCTTTACTGAAACCTTCCTGAGAAACTTCATAAGTACAAGGATCGCTGGAGGTATTATAAAAGTTATTCATTCTGCAATATTATGAATCATTTGACCCTGGAAAAAAAATATTGTTTTTCACTTCATAGTAATATTTTTGTAAGCATTATGTGTATGGAAAACCCAAGGATAGTGACAAAGCATGTTTTCAAGGAGTCTGTGGATGAAATTTCAGATTGTTATTTTCCCTATACTTCTATTAGCATTTTTGTTTATTCAAGTGAACTTATTTTGATAGTGTGAGCTGTTTCTGTGATTTTGTGAGAGTTTAATAGATTTGGCAAGTGACAATTAAAAATTTCTGAATTTTTCTTTTACCAATTTTGTGAAAACTACTATTATTGTAGGAAAATGAAGTACACCTACCCTTACTACACTTATGTACCTAGTGATGTCTCTAAGTGCTTAAGTGTAGTATTAAATTGAATTCAATTGATTTTAGGATTTAATCTGGCCTTGCTGCGAATCAAAGGAAACATCAAAAGACCTCATTTACCAGCAAAATCAATAATACAGTTTTGACTGTTAAAGATTGTATGTCAATTCATTGTCAGCAATAGTTCATTTATAGAAAAAACAAATTAATTGTGCAATATTTTAAAAAAATACACATGTAAAGATTCATTCAAAATTGATGAAGGTTTTGCAACATATTATTGAGTTAACATGGAAGACATAAAAGTTAAGCTCCTGTACCCATTTGTGTTCATTTGTTCTCAAAGAGAGCAAACATTTATTGGTTTTCCTGTTTCCTTTAGATGTTATAATCTAGGTTGTCTTTCTGTTTAAAAAATGCTGTTGTTATATCCTATGAAGTTGATGAAGAGGACAAAACATGAGCTCCATAACCAAGCTGTGTTTTGTTGTAATTAAGGGCAGCAAAAAAAATTGTTTAAACACTATTTATTATAATCTAGGTTAAAGATCCTTTTGTTCAATAAATGTTATTGTGATATTCTTCCCATGAAAAAAGAACATACATTTGTAGGTTTTTTCACTTTCCCTACTTTGACCACTGGTATATTGGTACGATATACGTAGGGACACATTGTATATAAACAAATTATCTCAAATTGAACCTTATAGAATGTTCTTAAAATTGTTATTTTTACACATACTTGAAACGTGAAGCATTCCAAAAAGAGTAACATAAACAATGTCATGTACTAAAGAAGAGGGGTAAAAATTAAAACATGAAGTGTTCCTAGGTATGACCATTTCACCTGCACAGTATCAATTTCATTGCCGATTTTACATGATTTTTACATTGAAAAGCAAGGGACCTAAGATGGGGAAAGGAAAACTTTGAACATGGGAATGCATTCCGGAATCACGTCTATTAATTCAGCTTTTTCCCATCTTTGTGAGTGTGTTCGGTCTCATAGGTTGCATAATGCTATTGTGCACCTTGTACTCAGGTCTTCTTGAGGTGTTTAAGACTTCAGTGCGTCTCAGACCTTGTATTTCTTCCCAGAGAAATTGCGAGAGGAGGCAGAAGTCAAGGCCATTGGGAATTTCCAACGCAGTATCCATCATAAAATTCAAAGGAATCGTAGTAGGCCTACGTAGGTAATCTCAAATTTTGACGTGTGTATTTCAAGAATGAAAATGTCGAACGTGTGCGCCTGTATGTGTGTAGATGTCAACATTTTTTCACAAATGATGACTCAAAATTTTTGTTTATTTTTTCTCGAATATTGCGAAGTTGTCTACGCTTATAAAAATGACGCGGGTCCAATTTTTGTTGAACTCTCTAAAATTTCGATAATTATTACAAAAGTTAAACTTTTTTCAGTGTCTTCCTACAACTGAAGATAGATAATTTTTTCTTAATAAAATTAGTTTTTCAAAAGTTGATCTTTAAATAGGATAATGTATACATTTTTTTCATAATATAAGTAATTTTATGTAATTTTGCATGAAATAAAAACTTGTTTGAAAACAAGATTTTTAAACAAACGTTTTTTCGGCTATTTTTCTCCTTAGATAGAGCAAAATACGGTTAAAAATGGCGCAGGTGTCATTTCCGTCAAACCATTCGAATTTTCACAAATTGCAAAAGTTACAAACAACAAGAGAAAGTATGCTCTTGTAGCACAACCAACATTTAGTGTACATTCAATACTCAACCAAAAAATAAAGACTAAATCCGATTAAAGTGTATGTTCCAAGAACGTAAGTAGATCTCAGAAAGTATTTCCGTATTGAGTTTCCCTAAAAGTTCGGTTACCACCATTATCAAATTTTTCAGATTACATTTGCCTTAGTTGAAATCATAAAAAACGTTCCATGTGCAAAATATCCGTATGTAATTGATACAAACAAAACCCTTCGTTTTGAATTGGAGTTAAATCTCTAAAATTAATTTGCTAATTCATCATTTCTTGAATACAAAATACATCTTTTGTCTATCCTCTTGTGTGCATCATACATGACTGAAAGGTTATGAGGAAAGGCGAAGAAAAAACTCAAAATCTCTCAGCCACTTAATGTTTAAATATGGGCAGAGAAACCGGATGAGATTGCTCGGCAACTACCTTTACCGTTACAGCGATTCTGACCGGGAGGTTCTAGGATTCGGGTCCCGACTGTGGCGGATTTTCGACAATATTTATTTATTTTATGTCAAAAACAGTTAAAAACTGTGTGTGACATGCTACGGGAGAATGTGAATTCTGTGCACGTTTTCATAATTTTGTGATCTATAACCTAAGTCATATACTAGTTGAATTTTGAATGCAGAAAGAAATGAGCGTTTTTTTAAGGATATTATTCTGATGTAATGAAATATATTTTCAAGGGTAAATCAGCTATATATAGATTTGGGCTCTTATCCCTCGCTAAGTCCTTCGAAAAGAAATAATACTTCTTGCCGCGACATGGAGAAAACTAATTTGAATAACTATATTTCCCACCGGATTCTAGAAGACACGCACAGATAATGTAGTTACATTTGTGTCCAAAAGCAAAACAAGCATTTGCTCGAAGGAACAGGGAAACTGGACAAAAAACCTAATCGAGATGGGGGTCATTAACTCAGAACCTGAGATACAATACTTGTTACAGGTTGTTTAGAATTATACTTTCCAAACGGTAAATAATACATTGAATATCATAGTTAAAATTAACATTACTTTCTATTTGATGCTGGGTGTGGACTCTAATTGTATAGAAATACTTAGGCAAGAGAAACGT